CTCACCAACGCTGCGATGCTGAGCTCTGGGCATCATGTTGACCCTTGTAGCGCAAGGGGATCTTATCTTGTTCCTTGTAGCCCTCAAAACAGCTGGGCATGCTTACCGATTTCAGTAACTACCAGCTAAGGCCAAACAAGATCCCATGATAAAAGTTCAAGGCCCTGCATTCCTCTTCTTATTGCTTTCCTGAGTGGATTCTCATTTTAATCGGACTTACAATACTTTCATCCAGTTATCTCAAAGTACATAATGACTGCTGTAATTACTGGAAATAGTGAGCTAATTAATTCTTCTGGGTATTATTTTCAAGGGATAAATACTACTATCCTTGCTGTAAGAATAGGGAAACTGAGGCAAGGAAGAGCAGTTGTTGGGTAAATAGGTTTGTTTTAATCCTTTCCTGGTTTTATTTGTATAGGTTTATCTATTTGCTTCTTAGTATGCTTTGTGTTCTATTATTGCTTTCCAGTAATTTTGTATGTTATTGTTTTGGCAAATAGCATTTAGCAACAATTGGTTGTGTGTATGTACTGAGGTTCATTTAAGAAAACTGCAGCGTTTTTAGAAAAATGAACAGATACTGCAGGGATTTTTTTTGTTAGTTTATATATATATTGGATTTATCTTAACCCTGTTTTCCCAGACTTTCCTTTTTCTTCCTCCTTCTCTTGCTTTTGATGACCACCTTTTTTCAGAAAATAACCCAAGTAGCATTCTTTTCTATATATTTTTCATATACTTCAGCTTGCATTTAAGTCTCTAATATGGAAAGCTAACTGAATATAACTTTCTAATGTGTAAAGAACTAAGATATTCTATTGGTTATGAAGCTTGTAAGGCAGAGGTATGGTTTTACTAATATATCAGTTAATTAGTTATATCTGTAATTCATATTCAGAAGGTATATGCTAGTTTGGTAGCATTCACCAAAGGGTACGTGTTTCCTACAGTTCAGGTACGCTTCCCTGAATCCATTCAAAGGGTATATAAACAGGTAGCCAGAGCAGAGGGGAAGCTGCACTGGGAAAAAAAAGGACTTTATTTTGTTTGTCAGATTTTTCTGGTACTTAACAAAACTAACCGATCCATACGATACTCTCTGGAGTAGCAAATAACTACCCAGTTCTTTAACTTTTATCTCTCAGGCTGTGCTCCAGCAAGCACACATGTGCTTAGTTTTACCATGGCGAATAGTATAGCACAATTCCAGTGGAACTATGTGCTATATAAAACTAAGCACACATGCAACTATTGGTAGGATCAAGTCTCTAGATCGGAACCAGTGTCACAAAAGTCTTATTTGAAACACCTGCTTTGCTCCAAACTTGTTGTTTCGTAAGGGCCTGACTTTCAAAAGCATTTAGGTGTTTACGTGCACCTTGGTGTCTTTATAAAGTTGGCACTAATTCCTTATTGAACTATGGATTAAGGGCCTCTAGAGAGTCTGAAAACCTTATATAGACTTATTTCAGTCAACTTTTAATTCTAAGGAGACCTTAAAAAGTTAAAATTAGTCTCAGCTGTGTTAAAAAAAGTGCTTCACAAGCAAGGGAAACAGTCAATCTGACAAAATAAATAAATTGAACTAGTACAAGACTTCTATAACTGGAATATTTTGGGGAATTTAGTAGCAATAAGAGGCAAAAAACCTATGAGAACCATAACATGGTTTCTAAGGTGATGCTGTTAGGTTTGACGCTGTTAACCCCAACAGCTTGAGTTCTGAGACTTTCTGCTCTCCAGACCATTTTCCTATCGCTTATTGGTCCTTGCAAGGCTCCCTCCACCTCTCTTTTATAACATACAGATTTGTGCACTGCCTATGGCTTCAAGACTTTTCCAGAAGGCTAATACACATAGAATCTTTAAGCACTTATGGAGTGGTTTGAGCGTAACCCTATTTGCGTTTTTCCCTTTTGTGCCGGGGGAGACAATAACAATCTTTGCTGGAAATAAAGCCCAAACAAGGGAAGCTGAAGCGTGGGAGTACGTGAGGGAGCTGGTGGATAACTGTTACAGGGCTGTGAATCTCTGCTCACGCTTTCTCTCATCGCCTGTGGTATTTATTCTGGTGTTTAGGCTAGGCTCTTCCCAAATACCTGCTGCGGTTCTTACACGCAGGATCACAGAGAGCTCAGACCTGAGGGTGGGTGGCGAGAGAAATCCTTGCAAATGCCCCGCTTGGATCAAATGAATCTGCTTTTTCCATTAAAAACACACGCAGGCCCGCGTTTCCCTTCCGCTCCTATCCCGTAACGGTGTACGGCCCAAAAGTGCCCAAACGCACCAAAGGGAAAAGCCGGGATGGGGTATTTCCTTGCTAATGGTGGCTGCTGGGCCCTTACAGGTTTGAGGAAAACCCTCGGCGGGTCATCAACCCCAGGCTCCGAAGCGGCTCGGGGGCCGCGCCGGCGTACGAAGGGCCGCGTACGGGTTACCTGTCCCGACCTACAGCCCCCGCGCCCAGCCTCGGTGGGGCGGGTGCGCTCTCAGGGCGCTG